ATTTTAGCCATTCTGACTGGTGTGAGGTGGTATCTCACTGTAGTTTTGATTTGTATTTCCCTGATGCCGAGTGATGTTGGCATTTTTTCATGTGTCTGTTGGCCATTTGTATGTCTTCTTTGGAGAAATGTCTGTTCGTGTCTTCTGACCATTTCTTGACTGGATTATTTGTTTTTTCAGGTGTTGAGTTTGATAAGTTCTTTATAGATCTTCGATACTAGCCCTTTATCTGATAAGACATTTGCAAGTATCTTCTCCCATTCTGTCAGTTGTCTTTTGGTTTTGTCGACTGTTTCCTTTGCTGTGCAAAAGCTTTATATCTCAATGAAGTCCCAATAGTTCATTTTTGCTTTGGTCTCCCTTGCCTTACAAACATTGACTTTGACGTGGGATAGGATAGGGGTAGGGACATTACAAACTAATTGTACATATTTATGAGTCTATTTACTTAATCTTTTCTGAGAATATTTTTTACTTCATCTTTTCCAAAATTTAAGTTTTTATAAGATGTAACATTAAACATGTGTTGCCTCCTCTGAATTCATTGTAATGGTAATGATAAGAATTGCGTTTCCTAGTGTTTACTGAATCAGTGGTTTAAAATGCCATCTAAACATGGCATTAAAGATCAACTAGGGGACTGAATGATTATTTATTTATTTGACAGAGAGAGACACAGCGAGAGAGGGAACACAAGCAGGGGGAGTGGAAGAGGGAGAAGCAGGCTCCCCGCCGAGCAGGGAGCCCAATGCGGGGCTCGATCCCAGGACCCCGGGATCATGACCTGAGCCGAAGTCAGACACTTAACGACTGAGCCACCCAGGCGCCCCTATTTGAGAAGCTTTGACTTGTGCACGGTGGGCCTGCGGCTTGGTGCCAGAAGGGGGCGGAATTGACTGAACTTGTTTCATTGGAATATCCAAGCAACTGCCATCAACTGAGGACCAAGGGAGTGCCTGTGGCGGGCACAGCAATCTGCCTTCCAGAGGCTCTAGAAGGGTCCACACCCGCCAGGCTGCTCAACAGTCCACATGTCGGCTGTAGATGCACTAGTGACTCTCATTCCTGGCTAGCCGGAGCCCCACTGAGGACCTGAGCTTTGCCCACAGGTTCCACGCCATGTTAAGCAAAACACTTACATACGTTATACAACACAAATATCTCACCACTGAGTCTTTCATCTTCTTGGGGAGAGGGTCTGCAGCCAATTCTTCCAGGTTTTGATGTAAACATTTAGGAAGCAATCTACAATGAATAAAGGACCTGAAAAGGAACAAATGCACAGCTTTTACTTTTTAAAATATGTGCATATTACAGTGTTCGAGGTAAACCGCCTCACCTGATACCTCACACTCCCAAATGGCAAGAGCAAGGGCTCTCTCCTTTAATGAATTCATAATAAAGGAAAAGAGGTCCAGAGTCAAGTCATCACAAATATTCTGTTTTGATTTTCAGATTCCCTCCTCGTTAAAGGAGTCAAGTACGGGGTATGGGCACCCCAACTGCCAACAGCTAAGCTCACAGAGACTCTCTGTTTTGGTCAGCCCGCCAGGGCTTCATCCTCACAAAGAAATGGCAAGAAAATTCAAAACTCCAGCAAAATATTTGACAGGAAAAGCTATGCAAACCATATTTAATTTTTGTCCATTTCCTGTGCCTTTCATTTTGCTGCACACCAGCAGCCTAAAATGATGGTTTCTCTGGCCCCCAAAGAGCTATGGCTATCTTAAGTCCAAATCTTCCGTAAGTTTGGAAAAATCACACGAGGTGATTGATTATCTGATCACGATCAGTTGGTTGATATCGGACACTCTGGCAACATTTCCAAGCATTTCCACTTCCAAAGTGCATATTTCTCTAAGATTTAAAAGACAAGATTAAAGGGAAGATAGAAAGTATATTTCAAGTGACTGAAGATGATTATTAAATACATTTTATTTATTTATTTATTTATTTATTTATTTTTAAAGATTTTATTTATTTGAGACAGAGAGAATGAGAGAGAGAGAGCACATGAGAGGGGGGAGGGTCAGAGGGAGAAGCAGGCTCCCCGCCGAGCAGGGAGCCCGGATGCGGGACTCGATCCAGGGACTCCAGGATCATGACCTGAGCCGAAGGCAGTCGCTTAACCAACTGAGCCACCCAGGCACCCTAAATACATTTTAAATGTAGGCGCAAACTTCACTTTGAACCCAGAGGGCCCCGCTGTGTTGGGAACACAAAGCAACAGAACAAAAGACAAACCTTTCAGAGATGCCAGTCTAGTGTGTCCTCAGAGGAAACGCCTAGTGATGCTGCTTAATGGACCCCGAAAGGAGCCTGGTTGAGGTGGGAGCTGCCCACACAGTTCACCCAAGGGAAAGTCAAAAGCAGCACTTGGGAGCTAAAAGCCCTCTGTTCCCAACATTGTGCATTTTACTCCCAAAGCAGGAGAGCAAAGGTGAAATGCGTGCTGAAAGTCGACCCTTGATTTTCTTAGTGTTTGGTCCGTCCTGCCTTTCTCCCACCCTCCCCCAGTGGTTGGCTAGGTGAGCAGCCAAAAGTTCAACCCCTCCGAGCACCGCTCGGCCCTCTCCCCTCTGTGACAAGGCGGGGCGGCGGGAACCAGGCACAGCTGTGTGTGCCCCTTACTCACAGGAGCACAGAGGGGTCACTACTCTGCCTGCTCAGATGGTAGGAAAGAGCAACCAAGAGGCCACAGAAGGCTGAAAACAGCGCCGGGATGTGCTGTGTGCTCCACGGTTCCTAAGGAAAAGACATCAGATACCAAGTCATTCCACGGGGCAGTGCAAAACGTCAGGATCACTACCTATGAAACACTTGGGTGTGCGGCCCCGAGATCCAGCCAGATGGATATGGTGTCCTGTGATTACTCCTGCCAGTGGACATACCAACAGCTAAGGGACACAGAAACTTTGCCTATTTATGCACAATGATTTTTAAAAAATTTTTTCTAATCTTATTTTATTTAAATTCAATTAATTAACATATAGTGTATCATTAGTTTCAGATGTAGAGTTCAGTTATTCATCAGCTGTGTATAACACCCAGTGCCCATTACATCATGTGCCCTTCCTAATGCCCATCACCCAGTTACCCCATCCCCCCAGCCACCTCCCCTCCAGCAATCCTCAGTCTGTTCCCTATAGTTAAGTCTCTTATGGTTTGTCTCCCTCTCTGATTTTGCCTTATTTTCTTTTTCCCTCCCTTCCCCTATGCTCCTCTGTTTTGTTTCTTATATTCCACATATGAGTGAAACCATATGATAATTATCTTTCTCTGATTGACTTATTTCAAGTTGCATCCACGTCATTGCAAATGGTAAGATTTCATCCTTTCTGATGGCTGAGTAATATTCCATTGTATATACATATGCCACATCTTTATCCTTTCATCTTTTGATGGACATCTTGGCTCTTTCTACACTTTGGCTATTGTGGACATTGCTGCTATAAACACTGGGGTGCAGGTGCCCCTTCGGATCCCTACATTTGTATCTTTGGGTTAAATACCCAGTAGTGCAATTGCTGGGTCATAGGGTAGCTCTATTTTCAACTTTTTGAGGAACCTCCATACTGTTTTCCAGAGTGGCTGCACCAGCTTGCATTCCCACCAACAGTGTAGGAGGGTTCCCCTTTCTCCACATCCCCGCCAACATCTGCCGTTTCCTGACTTGTTCATTTTAGCCATTCTGACTGGTGTGAGGTGGTATCTCACTGTAGTTTTGATTTGTATTTCCCTGATGCCGAGTGATGTTGGCATTTTTTCATGTGTCTGTTGGCCATTTGTATGTCTTCTTTGGAGAAATGTCTGTTCGTGTCTTCTGACCATTTCTTGACTGGATTATTTGTTTTTTCAGGTGTTGAGTTTGATAAGTTCTTTATAGATCTTCGATACTAGCCCTTTATCTGATAAGACATTTGCAAGTATCTTCTCCCATTCTGTTAGTTGTCTTTTGGTTTTGTCGACTGTTTCCTTTGCTGTGCAAAAGCTTTATATCTCAATGAAGTCCCAATAGTTCATTTTTGCTTTGGTCTCCCTTGCCTTACAAACATTGACTTTGACGTGGGATAGGATAGGGGTAGGGACATTACAAACTAATTGTACATATTTATGAGTCTATTTACTTAATCTTTTCTGAGAATATTTTTTACTTCATCTTTTCCAAAATTTAAGTTTTTATAAGATGTAACATTAAACATGTGTTGCCTCCTCTGAATTCATTGTAATGGTAATGATAAGAATTGCGTTTCCTAGTGTTTACTGAATCAGTGGTTTAAAATGCCATCTAAACATGGCATTAAAGATCAACTAGGGGACTGAATGAAACTCGGTACAAATTAGACAGACAGAGAAACCTGAAGACAGAGAAAGACGGTTCAAAATGAAAAGAGCCTGACAGTTCAGGCTTAACATGATTGCAGCACAGACGCCAGAGATCAATACACTGTACTTGGGGCGGAAGAGAAAAGAGCACAGACAATACATGTCCCCACTGTGAGCAGTGCTGGGGGGCCCGGGACCCCACAATCGTCGACCCATACCTGGCACACCCTCCAACACAAACATGGTTTCCTACACTTGGAAACCTGCAACATATTCAGACTCTCCGTGACCATTGACAGAATCTACTGGCGCCCTCCGAAAGCTGAACCTAGCACAGGACTTCAATGCTTTTCTCTCGAGGTTTTGATCCTCTAACTCACCAAGTGTTTCATCAGAGACGCAGGAGTTGTTCACTAGGCTTAAAATGAAATCTACAAATGGATGAGCCACCCGTGTTGGTTTTCTATTTGTGACTGCTAAGATACGCTGGAAAAGCAAGTGTTGCACTTGGTAGAGGGAGCGGTTTTGTTTTCATGGGCCTCACTTTCCTAGAAATTAAAATGCATTTCTTTCTCTCCCCCAGGGTGAGGGTCTAGCAGCCTGGGAGAGCAGCACGTGGAAGGGAAATGAAGAGAACAGCCGTGGAGCAGGCCGTTGAGCTCACAGCCCAACAGGCGGGAGGTGACACTGGCCGGTCCCATACACACCCCCTGTGCAAGTGGCCTCCGCCTCTCACACCAATTCCTAGTGCGCTGCTCTAACTTTCCCAGCATCCTGAAGGCACCACGGCAGCTTTCGAGACTTCCCTGATTCCCTGCAGATGCCTGCCCCACCAATTCTCCGGAATTCCTGCCCTCCGTTCCTCTCTGCTCCCTTTGGAGTTTCCTTCTGCAAAGCCCCAGCCTCCCGTGTCCCCAGGCCGGCCCTACGCTCGCGCCCACAAAGTCCTCTTACTCCACAGACCTCCCCTCATTGGAGGAAATGGAACCCTCTCTTTGCACTGGTTCCTTCTGCTCAGCCGATAAAAATGCTTTTGCTGACATCTTTAAAAAATAAAAAAGGCCCCCTTTACCCAGTTACCCTGGCAAACCAGCCCACTATCTCTATCCCTCCATCGTGCCAGCCTGGCCTTGCAAGTGACCCCTGAGCTTCCTTCACAGGGGGCACCTCCCCGTGGGGGCAGCACTTCTTCACAGGGTGGGCTTCAAGCTGGGCCGACCTGGATTTGAACCCCGGTGCTACCACAGATGAACTGTGTGGCCTTGGCTAAGTTACTCAACATCTCTGAGCGTTAGGTTATCTTCCTCTTCTTTAGAAAAGAAACACAATACAATTCAAGAGTGGCTGCAAGGTACTCTTCTGTACCCCAGTTTTTGACACAGGAGGGTCCAATGCAGCCCCTACTAGGTGACTGACGCCCAGCACTCTGAGCCAGAAAGCTGGCTCTCCTGAGATGCTTCCTTTTCATTGTCCCCAGTCAGCTGATCCTCACGTGTCACCGTTACATCCTTCAACCCCTGTCCTGTCCTCACTTCTTCCACTGCATCCCACCGGGTAAGGCCTCCACAGCCTCTCTCTTTCCAGTTCTACTGCTAATAGCTTCTTAGCGGGAGGACTGAACACCAGTCTCCATGTCACTCCCCCACTCTGCAGCCCCCCCAACGTGTCTTCTACTTGGCAAAAGAACAGTCCTCCTCACCTAAAAAGCACTTCAATTGCATTAATGCCCTTCACTCAGTATTTTTCAATGATTCCTCATTGCCTACCAAATGAATCTACTCCACAGGAAGCTACATAAGCCAATTAGGATCTGACCATAGCCCAACTTTTCAGCCTCATTCCTCATATTTAGAGTCTGCACAGCAGCAAATCCATAAAGATAATGTTGCTTCCTCCCTCCTGCCTTCACACACAGGGCTCCGTCTGCACAAAGGGCTCTTGTGCTCTGGCCCTATTCCTCTCTCCTCTACCTGGTGAACTCCTACCCATGCTTCAGTACCCAGTATAAGAAGTCCCACCTGCCTGGTGCTGCATCCCCTCTTCCCAGGCAGATTGGGACACAGCACCAAAATGTGTCAAAGATGCATCAAAAACATCTTTAAACACTTCTACTTCAACACTTAAGATATCTCACTTCTGTTAGTTGTAGGCATGGGTAGGACTTGGTCCCTCATCTGAGAGTCGCTGGTCACAGTTGTGCTTAGAACAGTCTCCCGAGGGGGGCAGCCTTGCCTCTCTCTTTCCCCTGTACTTGGCGCAAATGTCAGGACATCAATGTGTCCACGAGTGAGTGACTGCGAGGTGTGTTTTCATCATTACATCAGTCCCTTCTCTGTGACCTGTGTGGAAAATAATTTTCAGCAGGGAAAAAGGGTGAAGAAATTAAGTAGCTTAGATCAAATGTGGACCAGGCAGTGAAGTGCCACTGACATAATTAGACTCTCAGAGGAAAGGTGATTCTGTGACCTTTGAACTCATTTTTCCTTCAAACTGCGGCCCCAATACCAGAAAGGCTATTCTGAAGTTTGAGAACTTTCTTCTTTTCTAAGAGTCCATTCATGAAGCATGTATTGGCCCCCTGCTGTGTGCCAGGCGCCAAGGTGCACGCTTGTGAGGAGGGTGGACACAGGGACATGGGAGGAAGAAGACTGCAGTAAAGTATGACGAGCCACGTGATGGTGTGGCCACATGATGGTGCAGCGGGAGGCGCTCGGCACTCATGGAGCAGGAAGCAGAGGCTCAAGTGAGTCAAGGGAGTGGCTTTTAATTGCACAGAAGAAATGCAGGAGCGTGTGGTCCTTCCCCTCTAGGGCCTTCTAGACAGGCTAAGCTCTCAGCTCTTTGGGCACCTGTGTGCAGACAGAGCTGCCCTGCTCCATCCTCCCGTCTACTCCTCCGCTCTCTGCTCTGGCCATCCACCTAGGGCTTCATACTGGGCTGTCACAAAAACAAACACGAAAAGTTTTCCAAAAGGGAAAAACCTGCAAGATTCTACTTCCTTCTATTAAGTCCTCTGCATTTGCCTATGCTGTGTATTTAATTTACAATTTTGTGAAGGTAGAGGCCTTCCTTCCACATGCAGTCCATTAATATGCAAATGCTGGGGGGGCAGAATCACTCTGCAATGGATTTAGTAACCATGACCATGGAAATAACCGTCACTGCATGGAACGGAGAAAAAGTCAAGGGAGCAAGCACCGGCAGGAGGTGATTCTAGACTCCTCACTTCCTGGAAGAAATGATTCTGTGGAAGGTCCTTCCCTTCCCCAGGCCTCAGCTTCCTCTTTTGTGAAATAACAATGGCACCGTTCTTAAAGTATTGCTGTAATGACCTAATGAGATCTGAAACAGCCTTGCCCATTGCAAAGTAGCGTGCCAGAGTCAGTTTCTTACTAACTAGAAAAGAAGCCATACCATGA